AATCGGCATTTAAATGGGGCACAAAGCCCCTCAAGAACAATAAATGAATCAACACCCGGGTGGCATATAAAGCCTCCGAAACCAGCAATTTATAATATCCAAACGATGAAAAAGTCGAGGCAAAACAGTAAGAATGACAACTTAGAACGACATCCCGATTCTTTTTCAAAACGACGATAAAATCGAGAAACCGGCCGAGAAGAATCGAATAAAGATTTGCATGCATACCCCACAATTCCTATGCGTTGATATCTCAAAACTAGACTTCAATTCTGACATTTATACCACCCAAATCTTTCATATTGCATCGAAATATCGTGATTCTATCCTTAAAATGTTGAGATACACCTTTTCATGTAAATGCACAAAGATTGAGTGGTGTGCATGTAAATATGGTTGTTTAGGTGCTAGGAATGTAAATACATAAGAATTGTGTGGTATGTGTGTAAGAGTTAAAGTTTAGGTATTAGATATGTAAACGTGGGGCAATTGAGTGGTAAGTATATAAATGTTCCATCGAATAAACATCGGCACTGCTCTATGCTTCCCCTCTATTGACAGGAAACATAAGGAAACATGAATTAAAACACTTCATCTGTGGTAAAACTAGAAATAAAAGAGCACCATAATTATATGGAATAAGCATTGCCTGCAAAATTCTTTACCCAACTGATGTTGTTCTGCTTCAAAAGGCTCTACTTCAGCGGTTGCTAGGTACCAGGACATAAGAAGATTTTCAAGCAACATTCAACCCATTTGACGTTGTTTTCGGCACAATCAAGAGCAAGACAAGGATAGGGAATAGGTCGCAGCTCTTGTTATGTCGTGTACGCTGCAAAGAATAAAGAGGAAGGTGAAGAGGTATACCTGGCCGAAGCCCGCTGGAGAAGAAGAGGAGGAAGGAGGAGCTGGTCTGGGTTGTGAGCGTTGTATCAAGCGAGCAACAGTTTTGGCTTCTATGGAGTCGTGCAGGGCTGTTGTTGCGTGAACAAGAAGACGGGATCGAACGGTCAAGGAGGCAGGCCGAACGACTTCTGTCGGATGAGGAAGAGACGAAGCGGTTGTTCGACGGGGAGGGAAGTGAGCTTCCTGTCGAGCAGAATCGAGCCGAGGAGGAGCTTCGCTTTGGAGCGTGAGGCGAGCGAGGGTTTCTGGGCGAGAGAGGAAGGAGCGGGAGAGTTTCTTCGTTGCAGGGAGGAGGCAAGGTCGAGCGGGAGAAGCAGAGGGCTTCGGCGTCTACAGAAGAGGCGTGGGCTTCGACGTTCGCAGAAGAGGTGAGGGGATTCGGCATCGGTGGCGGGATCGAGCAGGCGAGGAGGAATCTGTGGCTTCAGTGCTGGGTGCGGGAGACGAGATCAAGTGAGGCGAGCGTTTTCAATGCAGGGAGGAGATGAGCGGGGTTTTCGGCGCAGGAAGGAGCGGGATCGAGCAGAGCAGAGGATGGGGTGCAAAGACAGAATCGAGCAAGCGTCCTTCGATGCCAATGGAGGATCAGGCGAGCGGAATCAAATTAATAAAAGTAGCGGACTCGAGAGCCGTTACTTAGAAGCGACGAGAACTTAATTTGTTTCCTTTTAACAGAGAAATTTATTTGGCATGACATATCTCTTAATTGAATTTCATTAAAGTTCGATTAAATACTTCATTTGCAATTTGAAATTTGAAATTCGAAATTCAAATTGCTTAACTCTTGTTTAGGTCGAGTTCAACCTGAATTGAATCCGAGTTGAGTTCGAGCCCGCATCCCGCTAAAGAAAAAATGCATCGATTTCCGTGCAATCTGTGTGCGCACGTAACCCCGACAATATGGGTGTCCCTCCTAGCTAAAGTTGACGTTTCGGACGCGTCAACGCGGTCCGTTTCGTCATCCGGGGTCGTCCGCACGAGTTCGCCGACGGGCGAGTCGATTCAAGTCAGTGTCGTGTGTGATGCAGTGAGTGAAGTGCGTCGTTAGCGAGTAATCGAGTCACAAAGGGTTCGCCTAAGGCTGTTTGTTCATATAGGAACTCATTTTCGGGCCCTCTGCATGTTGGTCCTTAGCCCTTGCAACTAAAAGTTGAGTGCTTGAAACCACTCATGCGAGTTCTTAAAAAAAAAGTCAAGAAGCGGTTTGAAGTTCTACGAGAGGTGGGCTCCATTACTAGTCCGCTAGGATGGTCAACAAGGAACTCCTAAGGCTAGATTATGGGTTCTGAGAGTAGGAGACTAAGACCTCATTAAAAATGAGGTCAATAAGAGGCAAGGGCAAGTCAAAGCCTGGTCAGCAGACAACCTGCTAGAATTGTGACAAAGCTGACTACATAAAAAGAATTACAAAAAATCCGAAGAAAACGATGAATGATATCGCTAATGTTGTTATTGAAGAAGTACAGGATGTAGTATTGCTGTCAGTTCACAACTTTGTTGATGACTGAATATTGAATTCATAGACTTCTTTCCATACATCTTCTCACCTGGAGTTAATGTGAAATTATGTTGCAGGTGACTTTAGGAAGATATATTTGGTTGATGGAAAAACTATGAACGTGGTGAGGATGTGAGACGATATTACACTCCCTAACAAAAGCAAATGTACTTTGCAAACGTCAGACACATTCCTGGGTTGAATAAAAATCTCATTTCTGTTGGGCAGCTCGATGAGAGTCGTCATACAAATAGTGTTCTCAAATAACTTCTAGAAGGTTACAAAATGGGCACTGGTACTGGCCTGGGGTAAGAAAACTGATACACTATATATAGCTACAGGTTTACTCAGGCTTGGTTACATGAGTCAAAGTGGTATGAAAGAACTTCAGTTCAGAGGTAAGCTACCAAAGCTAAAGTTAGTTCATCTCAGCATGTGTGAGAGTTCCATTATGGGGAAACAGAAGAATGTTAGTTTCTTAGAAAGTGGCGGAGCGCCATAGACAGGAAAATTGAATCTCGTACACACAGGTGTGTGAGGAGACATTCTCCTATGACATCACTTGGAGGCTCTCATTACTATGCCACAGCCATTGATGACCACAGTAGAAATTTAAGGTTTGTTGATCTACTAGAAATCACAGTGCAAGGCGGTGATGGAAGTGATGAGGAGAGTGGGTTTGGTGCACCCATTCCTAATGTTCTGCAGTCAGTTGTGGAGCCGTCCACCCCTACAACTACACTTCGCATTTTAGTCAGGAATAGACATTTTCCTTAGTGTTACTCATTGACTTTGAACTACATTTTGCTGACAGATGGTGGAGAATCATAGAGGTTGAGGAAACCTTGCAAGATGAAAATTCGAGCAAGTGGGAATTGGCCATGAAGGAGGAGATTGATTCTCTGCTGGGAAATCAGACATAGGAGCTGACAGAACTTTCAACAGAAAATATGACATTGCACAACAAGTGAGTGTACCGGATGAAAACCGAATATGATGATAGTAAGAGGTACAATGCTTCACTTGTTAAAAAAGGCTTTCAGCAGAAACAAGAAATTGCCCATGCAGTGAGAGTTGTAAGCAGATACATGAATAACCTAGGAAAGAGCTTGGAGGTACAAAACTATGTTGACACTTATATGTTGACTAAGGGTTTTACTCTTAAGAAACTGAAGTTGAGCTCGACTTCAGTTGATTTTCTAACGCGAAGACAAGAGTCTTGAGTTGCAAAGGTGGAAGATACCACGTTTGAAGAAAAGGGCGACGGATTCGGTGGATGATGCAACCAGTGTACCAGTTTCTAAGTGAGAGATTTGTTTTGAATATGAAAATTGTTCCACATTCAAATTAGTTGTTTCGTATGTTTGACAGCAATTTAGATTTGATACTCGAAATTAAATGCTAAATTAATTGCTCTTTATTCCTTCCTAAATATCTTCTACCGCTTTCCTTGCATGAATCCCACAATCTATGATTTGCTGCAGAAGAGTAAAAGAAATAATTAATGAACTTCATTAATTAGTTGATTAATTCTTTAATGGGTCTAATAACATAATGAAATTAATAAATAAGCATGCTACAACTCCCCTTGTAATCTCTTTCGGGCATCGGTTTTATAGGGAAAGGAATCACATGCTATGCTTTTCTGTGTTGGTTCGGTGCTCTGCCTAACGGAAGAAAGAAACCGCTTGCTGCTGCTTTTTTTGTTTGTTCCTCCGTGCGGCTTGCAGGTAGAGAGAGAAGGGAGGAGAGAGAGGAAGAAAATTCTTTTCTTGTAATCGTCGAGGTGATCGACAGGCGTAATTCTTAGGCTAATAAAATCCTCTGCAACTCCGTGGACACAAATAATTTATTGAACCACGTAAATCTGTGTTTTCGCTGTGTTTTCGCTGTGTTTCTGTTTGCGAAATTTCTCAATCCATTTTTCGTTTTATTGTCGTCGTTTTTCACAAGTATATGCTTATAACAATATTGTCGTGCCAGAAAAAAAATTATACGGCCTAAGAGATGATGATATAATCATAGGCATGTTTGTAATATGACTGGTTGTAATATGGATTTTGTCGTGAGACGAGCACGAGTCATGGTGGATGACTATTTACTATTTACTATGCTTCTATGCTATATTTAGAAATAAAGTTACATGGCTAATTTGGAATAGTTAAAATTTAAACCATATAATTAGAATAATCTTAAAGAAACGGATAATTTTATTGGTTTAACGAAAAACTAAATTAAAAAAAGAAATAAATAAAAGAAAGAATTCGGATATTATTAAATAAATCAATTTAATTTTGACGCAGTCCTTCCATTTTTAAGAAAAAAGACTCTAGATCTTTTAAATAAATTCTCTGTACTATTTTTTTTATTATTTTTGATAAACTTAGATATTTCTTTCATGACAAGTTATTGATGACCAAATATGATTATATTCTTCTTTGCATATTTATTTATTTTTTACAGTTCTTCCGTGAAACAGTTAAATAAATTTAATTTTTCTTTCCACACCTTTTTTTTAGATTTTGTTTTTTTTACTTGTACTGTTCCAATCATCATAATTTTCTGCTATTGAACGAATTTGTGTTGCTGCTGGTAGCTAGTGGGAAAGCTGCCGAATTTGGTTCTTTGAAAGAAGGCTATATGTTTGACACATCAACAGGTTTGGCACGAATGTAAGCTACATCAAACTTCTATTATTCATGTAATTTTAGCCGTGAAAATTAAAAAGAATATATATATTTTTTTTATTTAAAAATAACAACTGTTGGACTTTAATGCTCTCTATGTCCAGGCTATTAAGCTCCCCAACATGTCCGATTCTGGAAGCCCTTGGAAGGAAGCTTTCTTTTGAGATAGCCGTTGGATTGAATGGACGTGTTTGGGTATGGCTCTAACTAATCTGATTTATTAGGGGCATTTACACACATACCACCCAAATCTTATGTATTTACATCTCTAACATCTAAACTTTGATTTTTTACATTTATACCACCCAAAACTTTCACATCATGTAAAAAATAGTACTATTTTAACTTTTAAAATTTGAAATACACTTTTTCATGCTTAGTTAAGGTGGCATACATGAAAAAATTGAAATTTAGGAGTTAAATATGCAAATAGATAAGAATTGAGTGGTGTGCATGTAAATCAGCTTTATCATTATTTATATGTTTTTATGAATTTTGCAGAATATTAATTTCCTTTTATTTCTCTAGGTGAATGCTGCTTCTCCATCCACTGTGATTCTTGTATCTAATGCGATTATGAGATCTGAATTTTTGAGTGATGTGCAGCAAAAAATTCTGGTGGAGAAACTGATGCAGAGGGTACAGGGATAGCAGGTCTGTAAAATAAATATGATTTTTTCTCTTGGAACGGTCGTGATCCTATGTCAATTTTCTTTTTTCTAGTATTTTTGGGATTTTTAAGGAAAAAAAAATTGCAGAAAAGTTTTTCCCTTGTTTTTAACCATGTTTTATGTAGAAAATTTTGTTTATTGCAGTCTACTATTTTTCGATTATTTTTATTTTGGGGCATTCGCATACATTTCACCAAATTCTTATGTTTTTATATATCTAACATTTAAACTTTATTTTTTATATTTGCACAACCCAAGTCTTTCATATTAGATCATACTAATTTTAACTTTACAAAAAGTGAAATACACTTTTGTATGGATGAAATAAATAAAACAAAATTATATATATATATATATATATATATATATTAAAGTTTAGGTGGTCATTAAGCAAATGATTAGGGTTACAAACATGACTCAAAGTTGAAAGGAAATTGTAACAAACACTAATACTATACAAGGGCCGGAAGAGAAGTTCTGAGGGTAGTGGTGGCAACGGCGAAAATGGTGGGAGTGGTGGTAGGGGATGTGGTTGGAAGGTGGGGGTTTTGGTGGCCGGTGGCTTGGAGGAGAAAATGGGGGAAAGGTGGAGGGCTGTTGGACAGGGAGGGGAAACAATAAGGTTTAGGGCTGCATTTAAGTGACAAGATTGGAGAGAGGAGTGGCTGGCTGACGTTAGGAGTTGCAGGTGGAGTAGGTGTAAGTCGGTGACTACACGGGTTGTGAAGGAGTCAGATGGCTGTTTGAGGGCCGGAGGAAGGTTGGGTGCAGGCCGACAACTAATTGAGGCAAAGAGATGATAGGGAGGAAATCAGAGAGAATACAATATCAGGGTTGAGGGCTGCAGGTGGAGAATGGATTGGAGGGGGAAAATGGGGAAAGGTGGAGGGCAATTGCACAGGGAGAGGGGAAGCACTAAAGGTTAAGGGCTACAACTGGGCGATAAGGTTGGAGCGGGGAGTGGCTGGCTGACTGCAGGAGTTGCAGATAGAGCAAGTGCAGGCTGACGACAACAACAAGCTGTGGAGGAGTCAGTTGGTTGTTTGAGGGTTGGAGGAGGAAGGGTGGATGCAGGTTGACGACTATTGGATTAGGGAAGATGATGAGGAAAACAGAGAGGATATAACATCATCTTGGAGTAGGATACAGCTGAAGCATCACCTTTTGTTAAATACATCCCTAACAAGGGGAAGAAAACTCCACAGAATTTGGAAAGAGAAATCACATATACATAACCCTAATTTCAACACACATACATATAAATAGAGAGAAATGGGCGGGAAACTAAAAAGGAAATGGGGGAAAGCAATGAGCGACAATTACATCCCCTATGGAGTCTGACCAATCGAGGCTGGACAGGGATAGAAGCTGGCCGGTTTAGTCAACCTCTACTTCTAACCGGTTCAGCCGGCCTCCCAAACCCGCCCCGCAACATTAGGGGTTAGATGTGTAAATAATATAGAAATTAAATGGTTTGTATGTAAATTTGTCCTTTAAATAATTATAGCTTCCTGAATTTCCTTTTTAGCATGCATGCTTTCCCAAATTTGATACAACCGAACTCAGAAGTAGCCTTTAATACCCCATGAAGGTCTGTTTGGGGCAGCTGTATATTATTAATAATCTGCTGATAAGCAGATTATCCTGATAATCTGATAATCTGCAGATTATCAAAATAAGTTATCTTGTTGTTTGGGGGAGCTTATGCAGAACAACTTATTGGCAGTTGTTGCTGAATAAATGACCATTCTGCCACTCTCACAAAAATGAGGTTCTCTTACAAGAATTATCCCAAGTTCTTCAATCAAGAATTATCTTACATGAGGTTCTCTGATTTTTCAATATGTTTGTTTCACTTAATTCCATTAATTTTAGAATAAAACCTACTCAATTTTCCTAAAATGTTCTACAGGTTGCTGGTCAACAACAAATCTTTCACAAAAATCTTATGCTAATTAAGCAAGTTTTCATTCCGAACAGTTTCAGTTTTAAATACATTTACAGTAGAAAACAGAATCAACATTCACCAGAGCACCATTGCTAATATAAGCAGAAGGCACACCTCCACCGCAGAACTTCGGAGGATGCCTCTCCTTACGAATGGCCTGAGGAGGGAAGAAAAGTTCCCCGCTAGCAATACACGTCGCAGAGCAAGCTGTGGATGCCATTGCCGCAGAGCGCGGGGAGAGGAGGTCGGGAAACGAGAGATGAACCCTAGAAAATCATCCGCTGGAGCGCGAAGCCAGCACAAATAGGGTTGAGAGCAGCAGGCAGAAGCATCACTTCTTGCTTGTGAGGAAGGGAGACGATGATGTTGAAGCAGTCCCCCATGTCTCCGCCGCTTCCTCTTTGTGCATGAGCGACGATAAGGACTAGAGAGAAGTAGAGATTGAGGGAGAGCAGAGTACACGAGAGTAATTATAAACCGAACGTGAGATCTAGAAGCGGGACGCGGGGTCGATCCCGCGTCCCCGCCTATTAACAAATTGGCGAACGGAGTTTCCGAGCGGCTCCAAAACTCAGGCCAAATGCATTATCCAAACAGTGAGCGGCGTTTTCAAAACGCCACCGCACCTCAATAAGCTGTCCCAAACGCACCCGTAATAAACCTGTGTGGTACATTTTTTGTTTAAATAGAAATTTTTATATAGTTTTCTTCATTTTGGTGCTTATTATGTTTTTTTCTTTTTAAGAATTTGGCCAAGAGTCAGTTGAGCTTCCTCAAGGTTTACTTTTTTACATTTGAACGAGAATGTATCAACATGCTTGATTTTATATCATGAAAGAACCTCACATACATACACAAGATAAGCAATTAGATGTACATTTATGTATAAAAGGAAGATTTACATACATACGACTCAGATATGTATCTACATGTTGAACAACATAAAGTGTCATTTTTACATACATACCACATTACCTCTGCATGAAAAGGTGTATTTCTTTTTTAATTGGTATAAATGTAAAAAGTAAAATTTAGGTGTTAGATATGTAAATACATAGGAATTTGGTGGTATGTATGCAAATGTCCCAAAAATAAAAGTACATTAAAATTTAAAATTAGAAAAAAATATGTAAATGCAAAAGCATTGACTGGTTTGTATGTAAATGTTCCTTTAAATTTTAAACAAAGATTTCCCGTCAATGATATGAGGGAGGGCAGTTGGATGACTGTAAATATGGGCCTACTTTACTACAGTTTGTACTGTCGTCAAGTTAATGCAGAACAAACTCTTTGGTTCATCCATCACAACTGAACTATTAAACATGTCCGGATTGCATAAAATTGGGTTATAGCCTAGTAGTTCCTATTGACTTCAGGCACCTTGGTTGACCCAATTGGACTCAAGTAGATCTAACTGAACCAAAGGTGACTTAGTAGATCACATTAGAGCTGGAATCTAGTTTGTTAACCCAAGTTGACCTAATGAACTTTAACTGGCATGATAAGACCAAATAGAAACACGTTCTCTTATGCTTATTCCTCATCAAATCAATCAATACTAATTGGCACTGATTGGCTCTCATTTGACACAACCAACTCAATTCAAATGTTTAATTTGATCAACTGCCCAATTTGACTAGATAAGTAGCCCAATTGACATCAATTAGTCCAATTGGGTTCGAACCAAGCTCGATTGACCAAATGGTTGGGTCAATTGGGATCCACAATCCTAATTAGATCCGCCCAATTTGTGGGTTCCGAAAATTTGTGCTCCGCGCTCCCGCGTGAGAGTTTTGTGGAATTTCGGGTCAATTTTTTTAAAGATAAATTAAATTCTTAGATAAGACGCTAGTCAAAGATTTCATCCTCATTTTGTGATTACTTTGAGCTGGTTTGACTTTTTCCATAGGTGCAAGCACATGTGATTAATTACCCCACTTGATAATGAGAGAACACTTTCGATTAAGACTAATCATTAGAACACTAAGTGTTTCTACTCTCATATAATAGTATCAACTCGGAAATGGATTTAGAAAATTTACCATTCTTGGCTTAAAACAGATAGCGGGGACAATGATGACTAATGCCATCAGAATCATTTGGTTTCAATGTAGTCAAAGAAGATGATTGAGTCGACCTAACCTAAAGATCTTTGTCAACGGTAATAGGTTGATTCGTACAACGAGAACTTGTAGACTTGAGGTGGATATTTATCCAAGGGGACATGTTTAAGTCAACTTAACTGAATCAGGGCTTCATACTCTATCAAGTGCAATCTATATTTCACAACTTTAGAGGTAAAACCATTAGGGATCAAGCTTAGATTGAAGCCAATAAGCTAATTTGAATTGAGTTGAGATTAAATCAAATCAAACTAACTTAAGGTCAGATCAAAATATAGAGCTTTATATGTAATTTCAATGTTCTGGATGCGCCGGCGCGGTCCGTTTCATCATCCGGGGTCATTTGAACAACCATGTCGACGATCAGGTCAAAAACACGTCAAATTTAATTTTCCTCAAATTTTGGGCTCGCGGTTGATCGTTTCAAAATTTTTATTTAAGTTTTCAACAAATAACGGTGCAGACAATGTAAATTGTGATAAGTAACCGTGTCGACTGTTCGAATTGTGAAATTGGTGCGCGCGAATATGCAAATTATGAATAAGGCAATCATAGGGCTTAATGGTTCTATAGGGACTCCTTTTGAGTTCTCTCATGTTGGTTTCAACGTCCTAAGTGCTAGAGGTCAAGAACCACACATGCGAAACTTCAAAAGGGTAAAAAAGTGGTTTGGAATTCTAAAATGAAGTGGGTCCCATTACTAAGGCTCTAAGATAATCAAAGGGAAAATCCTAATGCTAGACCCTAAACCCTAAGAAGAAAACTATACCTCACTAAAATGGAGGTCAACATACTCTTAAAAATCTATATTTAAAAAAGGGTATGTGATTCTATCAATTTATGATTATAATCATTCAATTTTAAAAGAAAATCATTATCCTTTGTTGCCCTCTACTAATATTAAATCGTACATTTGAATTTTAAGAGCTATATAGATTTTAAAATTTTATAATTTGAATTATAAGAATAAAAAATTTATAAAAATATTTAGAGCTAATCTTGATTTTTAATAATGACTATTTAATACGTCTGTCATAACTTTTTATTTAGAATTATGTTATATCTAGGAATCTCCATGCACTTTTGGTAAACCAAATT